GGTTTAATTAAGTTTAAGGTTCAGGTTTATTGTTTAATTAGGTTTAAGGTTTAGGTTTAGGGGTTTACAAACCCTTTCCTCGTAAAGCCCTAGTAATAGAAAACACGGGCATAGCTATTTCCTCGTAAGCATTACGAGGACTTTACGAGGAAAAAAACGCGGGCATAGCTATTTCCTCGTAAGCATTACGAGGACTTTACGAGGAAAAAAACGCGGGCATAGCTGTTTCCTCGTAAAGCCCTAGTAATATTACTAGGGCTTTACGAGGAAAACAATTTCTTATATATACACGAGCAATCCGACTGCTCAGTCATAGTAACTTCCTCTCTATTTTCTCTTAAGGTACTCTCTAGTTCCTAGTTAGGTGATTATATTAGGTGGTTAGTTTAGGGAATTTAGATTAGGTGGTTAGTTTAGGGAATTTAGATTAGGTGGTTCGATTATGAATTTTAAATTACGTGTGTTTAACTGTTTCTGTTTTCTGTTTTTTTTTTTAAATTTAGATGGTTAGACAGAGCAAAGTTGATGCTGCTCGGTCCAAGAGGCCTGTAGATCAGGGGATTCATTATGCAGATATATTCGGGTCCGGGTCGTCTTCATCAGCGGCCGGTGGTTCAGCTTCAGGAGTTCCCGAGACCCAGGGCGGTTTTACGGTATCCCGGTCTCAGCAGCCACCTCCTCAACCTCCTCCTCAGCAGCCACCTCCTCAGCCACCTCCTCAGCCACTTCCTCAGCCACCGGTCGGGATTCATCATGACTTGCAGGTACCTCCCAACGCACCATTTGTGGTGTACACGGTGGAGGATATCTTGGCCCTTCCAGGCAGAGAAGGGCTACCAGAGTTAGATCCTTTCCGGCGGGACGGCCAAAACGTATTATGGTATGTTTTAATTTTTAAATTTTTTATTAAATAATTTTTAAAAAGTGTTATGGTATGTATATATATATGTGTTCTTATTAATGATTTATTTTCTGTCTTTCCAGGTTTGGTCTTGACAATGCTGTCGGATCTAGCGTCACGGACTGTATCAAGGGATACTTTCCCGATGCAGCTCCAAACTGGAAGCTGACGGCGAGCCACACCAAAAAGACGTGGTTCAAATCGTTCGCCGTAAGTAATTTAGTAAATCAATTTAATTTATTTATAATCATTTAAAATTATGAATTTTATTGAACTAATCCGTCTTTTATTTTTTCTGGTTGCAGCAAAAATACCGTTGGTCTATTGGGATTCACCAGCGGGTGAAGTCCGAGTTCGAGACCAAGGCAAAAGCCCGATTGTGCGACATGGTCTACAACTGGAAGGGCGA